CCCCAAAACCCCAAAACCCCAAAACCCCAAAACCCCAAAACCCCGTGTTCATTAAAACAAATTGAAATCTGACATTCAACTCGATTAATTATGAATAATCTTTCTGTTTCACAAGAAATCAAACAAATGTATAATCTTAGAGTGTATCATATCAAGAATAACAAAAGTACACATAATAATAACTCAATACGATCATGTGCATTCTATTCCATGTTATTTGGCCTGAAACTACTGAAATCTGCTTCATAATTTGTAGAAAATGGAGACCTAAATATGGTTAATTAGATTTACCTAAGTTTCTCTTTCAGTTCGTTCTTGCTAAAAGTCTGCATTTTCTGAGAGCTGTCAGGAAGATTATTGTAGCTATTCATTCATATATTCTCCTTATCTGAATCATAAGTTCCTTGTTTTTGAACTAATTTGCTATTTGAGCTTTTACAAGAATTCTCCTTGTTGTCATAAGAGCTCTCAATAGTATTAGAGTTATGCTTCTCAAACTCGTATAAGAAAGTATCCTCTTCCTTATTCTGGGGGTTTTCTGGTTCAATGTTATCAAAGCTAGCTGTCTCCTGCTGAATCAGTGATCCATATTCCTTATCTGGTAATTTTCTCTGATTATGCCACTGTTCAAGCTTATCATGGATGTTCTTGAAAGACCCAATGATTTCATTATAGCTCTGTCTAGACTTCTCAATAGAGTTGAGTTCCTTGTCATCATCTTGGCTGTCTAGAGATAAACAAAAGGTTACCTAGATCGTAAGAGTCATCGCTCTTCTGGTCGAGCTCTTCCTCAGTAATTTTCTTATCTTCTAAACAATCACATGAGGATTTTCTAGCTTACCTAATTCGAGAGTATTGCCAAACTCATTTTCTTCTTCTGAAATAGGCGAGAAATTATTGTCATGATTCCGGTTGATAAAGCTTGAATCAGCCCTATTGTAGAAAGACTTCTCATTATTATTCTCATTTTCATTATCACTATTCTCCTTCTCTGAATTCAAAAACTGAATTAACTTCTGCTGTGATTCGTTCACATTCTTTAGAGTGTAAAGTTGGTTTTGGAACATATGACGTTCATCTCTCAAGGCTTCATTCTCATGCTTTACCATATCTATTGCTTCCTGCATTTTGCGCATTTCTTTTAGCATTTTCTCGCTAGCTTGGTCCCACCCATTTGATCGTTCAAGCTCGGAGATTTTGTGCTGGAAGTCCTTGTTCTGACTCTGGAGGTCATTAATTACTCTTTCATAGTTTGGAATGAAGTCTTTATTCACTGAAAATAGCTCATTATTTTAGACACTCGTTCTCGAACTTCAGGTTCTCTTGTGACTCATCGAACTGGCCTCTTGACTCATGTCTAAAGTTAGAGATAAGGCTTACTCTTGTTGATCATTCCAAGTCATCTGACGAGAATCCTGTTGTGAATACTCTTGTGAGTTATACATCAATTCATTGTTAATCTTCCTGATCCTGTATTCCTCCTCGTCCCGAGACGAAGATTTTTCAGTTTTCGTGCGAGAGTGGCTTGTTTGGTGAGAAGTTCTAACCTTGTTCGGCCTATCGTGGGGTTCTCCAATTAATTGGTTCTCTATCTTCATCGAAATCTGAGTCTGGTTATTGGCCTCTCGGTTAAAATTTGAAGTATTAAAAGAGAAATTTTCACTTAATTGCTTGTATTTCTGCAAACCTGTCACTCCAATAGCCTCTACAGCTTTAGAAGAAAGTGAGTTTCATTCAGAAATCTTCGAGTCTTCTACAGTTATTGTAGGGAATTTGGACATTTCACTCATGATCCTCCCACAAAAATCCAGTATCAGATTAAGTTCCTTAGAAATGATATTGTCAAGCCCTGGGAGGTTTAGCAGCTTAGTCACAGAATGGGTAATGCTCTTCAGCTGAAACTTGACTTTCCTGCATTGGTCACGATTAAAGATCAAACTTTGGTCTCCAAATATTTGATTCAGGCCTAAATTTTATCAAAAGTTCTTACGGTTGTTCTCCATCTCAAGTTCTTGGATTTCTTTAGAAGCCTTCTTGAGTTTTTCTTTATAATCCTTGGTTTTCTCTTTGTAATACTTATAATGTTTCATTTTCTTCTTCAAAGTAGTCGCTTCCTTTTTCATTAAGTCGAATTCCTTCTCACTAATGCTCAGAGCAGTGTTAGACTGCTCAAGAAGGGACTTTAGATCTAAAATTTCATTATGGGCTCTCTTAAGTTCTCCTTTGAAGTAGTCCTGCTTGTGGAAAGTGCGGTTCTTATTACCAGATCCACCAAAGAGATTTGTATCCAGCCTTTTTGTCTTACATTTCTTCTTCTTAAGCTTCGGAGAGGAAGAGATAGAGTATTTTCTGGATTTACTCCTATATGAAGACTCTGAATGGCAGTCCCATTTCCTCTTCCTTGATTTCCTCAAGGGCTCTCTGTTTTTAAGATTTTCAATAATAGCTTTTCTTTTCTCAGCAGCCACTGATCTCCTTCTAAGCTTATTTTTTCTGGCTTTTAGAGATAGATCTCTTTTGCGAAGCTGCCTTTTTGTTGCTAACTTTGGTTTTGATTTTGATTTATTTCTCATTCCCTCTTTAAAACAAAAATTTTAAATTTTTAAATTACAATTTAGTTTCCAAGGACCGGGGTTTTGGGGTTTTGGGGTTTTGGGGTTTTGGGG